ACTTAGATTAAACTAATATATCACAGTGTCATTCAGAATTGATGATACTCGTAAGATAGAAGGATTATACTTGAGTCATGACATTAACATAGATTAAACTAATATATCACAGTGTCATTCAGAATTGATGATACTCGTAAGATAGAAGGATTATACTTGAGTCATGACATTGACATAGATAAAACTAATATATATCACAATATCATTCAGAATTGATGATACCCTTGTTAAAACAAAGATCATATTTGCGAGTCATGACATTGATACATAATAATAATATCTCAGTATCATTCCAAAATTAACAAAGTTTCTTAACAAAAAATATGTATTATATTCAGATGGATCATATCTTTTAATTTCATAAAAAATACACAAGTTTGTTTTTGTATCTCATATGATATGGTTAATAACTTTAAAAAATCTAACTTCATAGCAATGCTAAAATCTGATGAATTATACAAAGTGCCTAATCCCTATGGGATTAACATATGTTGATACTATGAATATTAGCACTGCTTCAACAACACACATTTAAAATACTTTCTCTTTGAATAACTTAAGTTTTACTTCTTTAATCTGTTTTCAACCATGTGTGGCATTTACTAAAGTTACTGTAACATTATTGAAGATAAGGGATTTTATCTATTGCATGACACATCAAAAAGTGCTGTTTTAACAGGATTCTTGTGAGTCAGTGGGGGACATTTTTGTTGAGAAAAAAACAACTACCCAATTTGGTTTTTCTTAATTTTAACTTAAAATTTTTGGACATATTTATTGGCTAAAAAGAAGGCATTTCCCACACTCTGTTAGCATTGGGGCTGTGAAAAGGGATTTGAAGTGGTAAGGTGACTGAAATCCGTCGGTGCATCATGAGCTTAAGAGTGAAGCACAAGAAGTATGGAAGCAGAGGTATTCAGGAACCACTTAGAACCACCTTGGTAGATATTGTGTGATAAGCCGAGTACAATATTATGCCTGTAGCTGCTTTCAAACTGTTCCTGTCTGCTCATCCTACTGCTGACTATTATGATTTCCCTATGGAATTGCAGGTGAAATCATTCGTATCTCAATTGAAAGCCAAACATAAAAAGATGATAGCAGAAGCATAAAAGGCTTGCAGTTGCTTAATTAGTGATGCCGAAAATGTGGCTTTATTGATATATACTGAATTTACTCCCAGTGGGTAGACCTTAGTACTAGTTGATATGGAGACTTGAAGATACTGTATTTCACTTAAACATGTATGAATGAACAAATGAAAATTTGTCTTGAAGTTGTCTCAAAGATACGTCCAAAACCACCCTTTTTGGGAGTTTCTGGATTAAGCTTACTTTTAATACTCAACAAATTGTAGTGTAAAGAAACCCCTTGGCTCCTGCAAGACATGTTAACATACAATTAACATTATCAAAGTATTATGTTTAAGCTCATTAGGAAGTAAAAATCAACAAAAAAAAGTTTCTGCTTCTGAATGAGTATTGGAGTTTACACTATATGCATTCCACCAGGCTACAGAAGCCCATTAGGTGTATTGGAATACATTGTTATAAAATATTCATAACATGTGCTCAAGGCTTCTTGAATCATGGAAGAAAAATGTTTCTAAAGTGGGGATTCTGTGGTACAACATGTATATTTCTTTGGATATATTTTCCTTAGTTCACAATCAGTAGAGTGCTTTTATTGTTACTTACAATATTTCTTGCATGAAACAAATACATTATGGGGGAAAAAGGCAGTGAGTTTTGCATGTACTTTAAATGTGGATAGACAGTAAAACTATTTGATAAATTCTTCATACTAAATGTGCTGTAAATTATTACAGAATTCAATAATTTGTCCTATTTTGTTAGCTACAAAACCCAGTTTGGTATTGTGGAGCAAATTTCTTCACATTATAACAGGTTCATTACCTTTCTAAATTCCTAAATTTTCAAGGATTAGGGAAAAAATAAGTTTTAAACTAACCATTATAGTTAGGTAGAAAATGCTGTTACAGCTTTTAAAAATTTGTAACGACTGATTTGCTTTGTTTTAGTTTAGCCAAAGAATGTGACTAAATTATATTTTAAGTTTGAATTGACAGCAAGATTAAAGGTTTTTAAATAAATGTCTGTGTGTGTTATACCAAACTAGTAAAACACAATCTTGTACATGCTTTAAGAACTAGAGTAAAAGTAAAGCACCAGAAGGTCATTCAGCCTAATTGAGGTCACCTATTATCAATTAAAACAAGTAACAAAAGCATCAGAATCAAAATAAATGTAGCTCTTCATAGCTGTTTACTTATCCATGAAAAAAATATAAATGAATTCAATCTAAATGTACATGCCATCTCATTAAACAAATTGTTCCACAAATTCATAATTAACAAAAATAGTTTTGTTGGAGAAACAATTTGTCTAGGCTTTCCAAAGCTTAAACCTATTGTCCATGATTCCCTCCTTTGTTTCACCATCTTACAGAAAGACTGTTCAAACACCTAACAATTTTGAACAACTTAAGTTACCTCTAATTCTTTAAATGTTGTAGTGAAAACTAGTCCACATCTTTAAGCTGCTCCTTGTTGTTTTAACTACTTGGTATCCTTTGAGTATCTCATCTTTACATTCCTGCTAACATCTTTATTAATCTCTTAAAGGCCTAAAACTGTAAATAGTACTATCTAAATAAGGCCCCAGCAGTCATGAATATTGTAAATGCTTATTCTTAAACTTGAAAGTTTTGCAAGTAAAATCACCAGCTCTTATCTTTTTCACAGCACCTAAACACTAAAGAGGAAGCTTTATGGAATTATCAGCAGTTGAATCTAAACCTTTCTACTTTCTATGACATTAGTGCACCGTGCACAAGTTCTTTCCAAATTTATGTAATTCATGTATTTTTCAATGTTCTAACTGAATTTAAAAAACATCAAGACTTGAATAAGATATATTTTCAACAGAAACATCTCCTCTCAGTATTCTACTATTGTGTGAGTGATAATTGAATTGTTACTGTCTAGGAAGCTGCCAATATTGAAACAGGCTAATGAGGGTCCATAAAAATGTTCTTCCTATTAGAAAAATGCCTCTGTATCACTTTTCTTTGTTGTTTATTTTAACAACCAAACTCACTGAAGGGAAACTTTCCAAATTCCCTACTAAATGGTTTCTGACAATAGACTCTATACCCAGCAAAAGTCTGTTTAATAAGCTTGTATGCATACAGGTAGTTCCACTTTTGTAATTGCAAAGAAATTCTTCAATGCCAAAGATCTGAAAAATCAGTTAAAGCTTTCATTAATTCTTTGTTGAGCTTCTTCTGGGATTTAATGTAAATCTTATTAGAACTGGAAACTTTACATTCAGTTTCAACTATTTCATCAACATAATACAGCTCATTATTCAACATTAGTAAATCAAATATTATGAGTATCTGTATAGAAGTCTCAGATATAAATGTTTTATATTTTATAATTTTCAGTGTTTCCATCAGACATGTATGTTGAATAAGAATTACTTAGTGGAAGACTTCATCTCAGTAATAGTATATATATATATATATATATATATTTATTGGTAGTCTAGTCAACATATAATTATAATATCAAAAAAAGCCCTATGAACAAAAAGTTAGTAATTGATGTACATGTTCAAATAGTATCCAGATGTGTTTGTATGTATTTCTTACATTACCTTGTAATTAGTTTTTTCATTTTAATAATTAACTGAAAATATTCAGAAACCATTTTGGTTATATTTCAGTACTCTGAAAAAATATGTGCATTTATCATTTACTTTTTTAAATTTTTTTTTTATTTGACATATAGTTGTTTTTTGTAAATAAAACATGTTATTTTAGTTTCTATTTTCGAGGCGTTGGGTTAGTTTAAATTTTAAATTAAAT